ATAAAGGCATTTTAAAACCCTTCCCACACTTACAATAATCTAAACAATGTTTCTAAACTCTAAATGCTCTAAAAGAGACAGAACGTCATGATTTCAGCTCTCTGCCTCCTCTGCTCTTTGCCACCTGCAAGCACCTTCGGCCACGCCCACTTCTCCACTCTGCACAGAGATCAGTTGATCAGCTGCAACAGGAAGCTTATTCTGCAGTGTGGGCTACATACAGGTGCTAAAATGCCATGCCGATCATGCGTTGCATCCATCAGTCAGACAGTTGTGTGTCAAGTCCAATCTTTCTTTGAAAAACCGCGATAGAGTGAGTCTGCAATAAACGAACCGAGAAGTTGCGAGGGACTACTGTAATTAAGTTAATTTTACACGCTGAGCTAAATTTTGGAGCCGTAATAGCTGAAACTGATCTCCACAATACATTTGGAATGATAATTGATCATTGAAGATCCGTGTTTAAAACCTTTACCAATAACTCAACAATGTTCAGTCATGTCATCTGGATGGTTTCTTTTATTTTTGCTCAGACCTTTCATCCTTCATTCAAAAGGACTTCTTCAGTCCAAGAAGCCACAAACAAACTGGAGTCCCACAAATACCACACTCTCATAGTGGAAAAAACAAACAAACAGTTTGCTGGTTGTAAGATGGTTTCTATTTGTGGCTTATCGGACTGAAGAAGTCCTTTGGATGAAGGACGAAATGTCTCAGAAAAAAAAATGAAATAAAAAAAAGAAACCGTCCAGATGACCTGACTGAACATTGCTGGATTTTTACCTGAATTATTGTGTGTTTACCAATAACTATTTAAATCAACTATATGTTTGCTAGCAAAATAATTCACAACCACTGAACACGTTTTATTAAAACTTTCCAAAATCAAATTTTCGATGTAGATCTTCAGCTGATTAACGTCTAGAGTCAAACCAATTCAGGATGACAGCCACAGCTAATTGACCTTAGTCTACAAGAAAATGGCTATACCTCAGTAAAATCTTACAGATGTTAAGCTAAAATTGTGCGTGGTAGTAGCTGGCAGTTATTTAAAACACGTACTCTAAGCACCAACAAATTATAATATCTCGTGAGATTGAGCATGACATTTTTAAGGTTCCACCAAAATGGCTTTAACGTTCTCAGTCTCATCCTAAAAGGATCTTAGTTTAAATCTCTGGCATGAATCGAGGCAGGTGATATGAACTCTTTCAACAAATGCTGGCCTTTAATAATATTAAGAAAGATGTCTGACAATTTGAACTGACAATTAAGGGGCAAACAAAAGACTGGGTGCAAACAAAGGCACAACAATGCTCGTGTGGGGGTTTGAATGGAGATCTTCACCCTGCTTCAAACCCCTCCTCAACACACTAACAAAATCAGTGCTTCGGCTTCAATTCTTCCCCATCCTCCCTTTCACTCAAATCCTATCTGCCACCACCATGGGGGGACTTGTGTGATTAAGAAAAGTGGATATTGAGGTAGGGGGAAGTGATCCAAGCCTCCAACATTTCTATCCCAATTCTCCTCTTCCTGTCACATGAAAAAGAAAATAAACCCAAGTGGACTCAGACTCAGTTATGAGAAAATGGGATGAACAGGTAGCCAATTTGACATAAAAAATTAAAAAAAAAGTCACAAAACACAAGTGAGAAATGCTAACCAGTAAGCTCATTCTGTGCTCTGCTGGTTGCATTATGAACCCAGCCTCGAACAACCACTGAGCAGAGTCTTTAAATGGTTTGGTCGTGCCTAATAAAGCTGAAAAAAGACAAACCTTCTTTACTCCCCCCTCCCCCTCCCTTTAGACTAACAGGGTTATCCTTGATTGTGTTATCAAGACTGATAAACTCAGGTGCCAGTCACAAACTCCATATGGCACCGAGTGCCTCAGATGTGTGTCAGCACGCTGAAATTTAATCAAAAGAGAATTTGATAGAATCAAGATTGCCTCTTCTAATGAAATGCAAATGTGGGTCCATTAGTCAGTTGGGCTGGGCTTGGCTGGGCTGGGAGCAGGCAGGAGCCCATCTCCACTCATTAGACTAACTTCAAGGGTAGTAGCCAGATTAAGTGTCTGAGAAAGAGCTGAGAAATACTTACAAAGATGAGAAAATTGAAGACAAACATGAGGTACTTGATGCAGCTGAGGCAGTCCCCCTCCATGCTTGTCCCTCGAGCTGAAGCCTCTCCCTGCCCCTGAAAACCAGCAACATAAACATGTCACATAAATCCTGCTGCACGCTGACAGTATTCTCATTTTGCGGCATACTAAATATACATTAGGAGAACAGTGCACAATATTACTGTGAAAGGACCTGCTCGCATTTTAAAAGAGTACTGCCTGGAAAACCTACACAGCACATAGACAGACATCTTAACTCAGTGGTCTCAAGTAAGTTATAAGCTTTAACACAATTTAATACAGCTCATTTTATTCCAAAGTATAAACAGCAACTAAACACTTTGCCGCTCCAGATGGGTGGTGTTCCTGGCTTCACTATGACCTGTCTATCGCTGAGCATTTTAAGGACATAAGTCCTGACTGAGTTTCCTGATGCATTAACCATCAGAGGATGACCTTTAGTCTGGAGCTTCTTCTTGTTAATGTAATGAAAGACGAGAGCCCCTTGCACCCGTCAGCTAACCCTCTACCTGACAGAAACACATTTACTTGATGAAGGTCTGTCCTCAAAGCACTCGTGGATAATGAGGAACACCTCTACAGCATTAGAACATGTCTGAGCATCCGTGAACCTGCACAAAGATGAAGTAACTAAAAAAGGTAGGACACAGTGAAAATGAAATAAAACAAGAATGCTTTGATTTGAAATTGTGTTTTCAAGTGAAATCTGTTTAAAAATATCAAATAATAAAGTTCAATGTTCTTTATTTGTCAGACACACCACATGTGGTACATGTGGTGGAACGAAATTGTGTACACAGGGTCCCAGTTACATCCAACAAAAGTAAAGAAGCAGGGAAATAAAAATATGTTTTTGTAAATTTGTTGCCGTACACGTGTTTCATGGACTTGGAGAAGGAATTTGAACGTGTTCCTCGAGGTACACTCTGGGGGGTGCTCCGTGAGTATTGGATTGTGGATCTGTTACGAGGGGCCATTCAGTCCCTACACAAGCAGTGCAAGAGTTTGGTTTGCATTGCCAGCCGTAAGTTAGACTCCTTCAGGGTGGGAGGTGGACTCCACCAGGACTGCCTGTTGTCACAGATTCTGTTCATAACTTTTATGGACAGAATTTCTTGGTGCAGCTGAAGGGACCCTGGTGGCCTTAGGATTCTGTCTCTGCTGTTTGCGGATGATGTGGTAATGTTGCCGTCATTGTGCCGTGATTAGGGGTGCACCGATTTCAATTTTCAGGCCGATCACCGATCACCGATTTTTTGAAAGTCTGAACTGCCGATTCCGATTTTGGCCGATACCGATTTTTTTTTATAAGCAACAGTGTCAGGTGTTACAAGATCACAATGCACCTTCAATTTACCAATCTTATTTTATTGTAAAACATACCCTTGAAAAATACCCTAGAAACAATACAAACTTGTTGTTTTAACTTGTCATGAGGTAGTATTCTGAAATATAAATGAAGTTTACACAATTTTTGTTAAAACTATAAAATTAACTAAAAAAAAATGTTCAGTTCCTTCAACTCTTTCACTTGTTACATTTAAAAAAAAAAAAAGATAATGCAACAAGTGTAACATTTTCAAGTCAGTGGGTAATAAGAACTAACACTGGTAAGTTAGTTCTCACAGACTTATTCCAGTCACTTTCATTAGTGGCAGGTTTTTCTTGATGAACAAAAGCATTTCTGCTTTGTCACCAGACAGGCGACTTCTTTTCTCATCTACTACATGTCCAGCCAAGCTAAACAGGCGCTCGCTTTCAACGCTTGTGCATGGGGCAGAGAGATAGGTTCGGGCAAGTAGAGCAAGATGAGGGAAACGATTTTCATTGATCTTCCAGTAGACCAATGGGTCCTGGCTCCTTTCGACAGGAACCTCAGATAGGTAGTTCTGTACCTGCATAGCTGAAGGGCTGGCCAGCTGTTGCTCCTGTTCAATGTTCTCCTTCAAGATTTCGTCGTGAGCTGCAAACAGTAGACTACGCCTTTTGGCTGCAGGTTCATCGATATCAGGAGGTCCCACTTCAGAGGATGTTCCTGCAGCAGGTGTGCATCTGGTCTCCCCCTCTGCAAGTTTGGTCAAAAGGAGCAGTTTCACGTCATCTTTCACCTCTGCTGAGAAGTAGCGATTCTTGTACCTTGTTTTGCATAAACAAAGAAAGATGGGTCAATCATTGTGTTTTGTATACATTAACAGTTTTTATGACTTGCATGTAAATAAAGAAATGCATTTCAATCAATAAATTTTTATTTTTAATTTAATTTAAATGTTTGTTGAAATATAGTAGTAGGCTAAAAGTAATTATGGCTAAAATAGAATGTTAATAGTTACTTGCCTTGGATCCAGAACAGTGGCCAAGCTGTACAGGGGCTCATGCTCAATGTTGCTGAATCTTCTCACAACAGCCTCCAGCAACGTAGCTTTGGCTGTACCCACGCCACGGTCTGTGCTCGCTTGCCTCTCCAAAATCCGCTTGAGTGCAGTGATGGCTGGGATGACATCTGCTGCTGTAGCTGTTGATGAGCTAATCTCCTTTGTGAGTTCCTCAAAAGGTGCAAGAATGGTGAGCACATTGTCCAGTAGCTCCCACTGGTGTGCTGTGAGTGTGGCTGGTAACTCATGCTCAGCAGCATACACGCCAATAGCACGTCTCTGCTCCAACAGCGACTGCAGCATGTAGACTGTGCTGTTCCACCTCGTTGAAACGTCTTGCTGTAATCGTTTCCTGGGTTGACCTAACTGTGTCTGTATGTCATAAAGTCGGGAATAGGCAAGTGATGAATGCTTAAAATGTCCAACAATTCTCCTTCCTGTTGCCACCATGTCTGTGATGCTGCGCTGCGCCAGCTGTCCCTCATTTACAACCAGTTGCAGTGTGTGTGCCAGGCAGGGTAAACTTTTCAGGTTGATATCATCCAGCGCTTTGGCCATATTACGAGCATTATCCCGTAAAACAACGTGAACTCTTCCATGATCGATTTCCCAGTGATTCAGCATCGCCTTAAACTCTGCTGATAAATTGGCCGCAGTGTGAGACCCCGCCATTTCTTTACAGTTTAAGAGTACTTGATGACGTTCGAACTGTTCGTCAATCCACTGTGCAGTAAAACTTAACATGGACATTAAACTTACATCAGAAGTCCAGATGTCTGTTGTAAAGCTGAGTGTATTTGTATTAGCTTTTAGCAGGCTGCGGGTGTCTCTCGAAACTTGGCTGAACAACTCCGGTAATGCAACATCAGAAAAATATTTCCGACTCGGCATATTATATCGTGGGCACACGTGCTGCATCAAGCTTCTAAAACCTTTGTCCTCAACGACTGAAAATGGCTGGTTGTCTAATGCCATGAACTCCATCACTTTCCTCGTGGTAGCTTTGCTCTCTTCGTTGCTCATAAAAGCTAACAGCGACCCACCGACTGCCTCTTTGTTAGCGCTAGCTTTAGCATTAGCCTTAGCTTGGTTGCTCTCTTCAAACATTGCATACTTGGCGGCGTGGTGATTTCTTAAATGGCGAACGAGGTTTGTTGTATTAAAGGTTTTGGTGGTGGCTCCACCACGACTTACTTCGGCTTTACACGAATTGCAAATTGCGATCTTTGGCTCATTTTCTTTTACAGCGTAGAACTTCCAAACCGACGACATGGCTGCTCCGAGTGACCTGTGTGTGAGCTCTCACAGTGGAGCAAAAGGGGACAGCAGCTGATTTTCAGACCTTTCCGGAGGCAGATAAGATCGGTGGATAAAATCGGCTTCTCATTTAAAGATCGGCCGATCGCCGATCTCCCCAAATTAAGGAAATCGGGGCCGATCGATCGGCCGGCCGATTTATCGGTGCACCCCTAGCCGTGATACCCATCTCTCACTGAAGCAGTTCACAGCCAATTGTGAAGCAGCAGGGATGAAGATCAGCACCTTCAACTCTAAGGCCATTGTCCAAAATGAGTGGATTGCCCTCTCTGGGTTCCTGCTTCAAGTGGAGGAGTTCAAGTAGCTCAGGGTTTTGTTCACAAGTGAGGGAAGAATGGAGCAGGAGACTGACGAACACATCGGTGCAGCTTCCACAGTATTGCTGTCTCTGTGCTGGTCCATTGTGGTGAAGAGGGAGCTGAGCTGCAAGGCAAAGCTCTCTGTTCACCAGTCGGTCTACGTTCCTACCCTCACCTATGGTCATGAACTATGGGTAGTGACCAAAAGAATAAATTTGCATATACAAGCAGTCAAAATGAGATTTATTTTTTTTTGTATGGTTGCTGGATTCTCCCTCAGAGATATGGTGAGAAGTTCAGTTATCTGGGAAAGACTCGGAGTAGAGCTGCTGCTCCTCCACATAGAGAGGAGTCAGTTGAGGTGGTTTGGGTATCTGGTAAGGATGCTCCCTGGGAGGAGACCACCGGGAAGACCCAGGACACGCTGGAGAGACTACATCTCTCAGTTGGCCTGGGAACACATTGGAGTTATCCTAAAAGAGCTGTGGAAAGTCTGGGCCTCTCTGCCTAAGCTGCAGCCCCGAGACCCGACTCAGGAACAAGTGGAAGATGATGGATGGATGGATGGATGGATGGATGGAAGGATGATGGATGTTGCCATTAAAAAAGTTATGACTGTTTAATCATTGTGTTGAATATTCTACTCTTGAATCATTGTTCCTTGGTATAAGATGTCAGCCGCTCAGTAGTTTTGGGTAAACGTCACTGTTTATTTTATTCACAAAAGTTATTAAAGACGGCAAACAGAACGGTTTAGCATCTAGATTATTATCATGTGCTGCCACAAAAGGGGCAAAAAGTAGTTGCCTCTCTGTCTGTGTTGTTTATCTGTAGGCAAAATTTCTCACAAACCACTGAAAGGATTTTAATGAAACTTTCAGACAGTAATTATCAGATTTACATCAACAACTGTTTATCTATTGGTGTCAGTTCAATTCAAGATGGCCGCCACAGCTAATCAATCATCGAAAACCCCCAAAATGACCATGTTTCAGGCAGTTTTAAGTATTTTTCAGCTAATATGATTGTAGCTAGGAGTCATCCCCATCCCTTCAGGTCTTTGTT